CAATTGTTGAATTTTGTTCATAGTTTTCCTTTTTGCCTCCCGGTCGGTCTGTTACCTTAATTTCCTGTCATATGAGAATGAGACTACTTATTCAGTCAACGGCAATGTCTCACTATCCAGCAAGAACTATCGAGGGAATGGTTGTACCGACGCGTTAAATCAACAATGTATTCCTGGTAAATATGTGTTGGGGATACAGGCAGGTGACCTTAAACATTCCTTATTACCAAAGCAAAGCTTTGGTTCTTATGATTTCTGCAGTACTATTTGCATATGTTTGGTTTGCTCCTATACACTCCTCGTTTTCAGCTTCACCACATGCGCGCTACCGCTGGGTCACAAAATGACCCACGCTTTGTTTGTTTGGTTCGATGGACCACTATCTCATTATGCTGTGCTCTTTCTTCAAATTCAGCTTGCACATTGCTTATCCTGTATCTTCCTACCCTCATGTGTCCTTAAAATCAAGACTGTTCTTTTTCTAACTTTTTGCCTTCTTCATCTGCTAATCTCTATGATGAATCTTATGCCAATACAGAGTCTGCCTCTATGCCTAGCCAGTCCTTTGGCCTTTTCGCCAGTCCATCAGGCTCTATTGTCCCGGTTTTAACCCCAATATTCCAGGCAATAAAGCCAATTCCTGTGGTAGTAATGTCAATAAATTTGGCTGCATAGTCAATAATTCTGCACACCTGTACCCATCCATTTTCCTTCTCAGTCTATTGTTACTGCAATGATTCATCCTCAACCCTTCCTCATTATGATCTGTTTGATTTTGGTTTGATTCTAAACTATCTATGCCATCTTTTGAGAAACAACTGTCCTGCATTATGTACATGCATCTGTTCCTTCTGCTATAAAAAGTCTGCTGTTTATGTTTGCAGCATGGTGTGATCTTGTGCAAAATATCATTAGTGCCTAATATGTTCAGGGTATTTCTGACATGCAGCCTTGGCCCTGAACTTGGACTCATAGTTACATTTGGTGGTATTTCTGGAAGTGTTTGTATCTCCAGTCAAATC